AAGGAAGAAGAAGGGGATTGGCGAGGAAGAAGTGCCGGCAGCCATAGCTGACCGGGGAGTTGACCAAGAGGGTTGACCGGAGGCGTTGATCGGAGTTGACCGAAGTTGACCGAGGGTCATAGCAGCGTTGACCGGCGTTGACCAAGGCGTTGACCAAGACTTTGACCAAGCTGGAGTTGGTAACATCTCGCCAAGCCCTTAGCCTACACCTTGCCCTATGGATGTGCACATACCCCTTGGTACTTGCTGAGTACAGTGTGTCTGTCTATTCTTTCTGCACTGAGTCTCTTCTGTCCTAGGTCATAGAACTCTGTGGATGAAGGATAGGGCCTTGCTGCCAAACCTGCACGGGACTTAGTAGGACTAATCTCTACTCTGGTATCTGGAGACCTGGGCATGAGCGGCAAGCGCTCGTTAAACAACTCGTYTAGCCCAATGACCGGTATTGACCGGCAGGTCTGTTCAGTTTCAGTGTAGAGGGTCTGAACTCCGAGCTGCAGGCTGAAACGGAGGCCGTCGGTAAGTGGTGAGGGCCTGTTGGAACCACTCCCCTACCAGACCAAGTAAGGCTGATGATCTGTGTCTGTCGACTCGACTGTCCCGGGGGATACGAGCCCTCCCAAGGACCGGTACAGACCGGCGGGCTGCTCGGTGTGGCACAGTAGGCCGGAAAGGCTGAGTTGTGGGCTGAAAGCACAGGCAGAACCAAGCTGATCACGTCGTCCTATCTGCGACGTTAAAGAACTCTTGAGGAGTTACGGGGGATCTCCTTAAATGCCTCCTGATCAGCCACTGGTACAGTAGTGACAGCCATAGCTTAGGTCTAGGCTAGAGATCCTAGTTGGCAGGATCCCTGTCAAGATTCTGTAAGTCTTAGATTGAGTCTATAGGTTTGTCAGTCAGGGGTCAGAGTCTACGTGGTGAGGTTTGGAACCACTAATCCGGTTGTACACTTATCACCATGGTTGAGACCCGTAGTGGGACGGAGACTAGTCCCTACACCCCTGAGCAGCAAGCAAAGATGGCCGCCTTAGTGAAAGAGAACAAGGAGAGAAAGAGCGCGAGAAGCAGGCGAAGCTAAAGGCTATCGCAGATGAGCAGGCGGCGAAGATGAAGAGATTGGAGGAGGAGATGAAGAGAGTACAACAAGAGGAGGAAGAAAGAAGAAAAGCTGCTAAAGCAGAAGGGGCAGCAGAAGAAGAGAAAGAGAGAATGAGGATTGAGAGTGGAGAAGGAAGCAGTGGTGGCATGATGAAGTGGGAGACAGATACTGAGCTGGAGAAGAAGATCAGCGAGTGGGTCGCTAATTTATCGTTGGGGGAAGACGAGGAGGCGGAGTCCTATGTGACTAAGGATGAGAAGGCTGCGCTGGCCGCTGAGCTAGCAACCATGATAGACCCGATGGAACGAAGAGAGAGGGAAGACGAGCAAAAGTTAGCATGGAAGTTGAGAATGAAGAGGGAGAAAAAGAGGAGGAGAGAGGAAGTGAATAAGATGACCGCCGCAGTGGCAAAGGTGCAGGAGTGTAGAGCGGAGGTGCTGGCCCACCCACATGATAAGGCCAAGTGGGACAAAGTACTGGGCTATCTAGAGGTGTTGAGCAAGGCCTGGATGGAGGAGCGGCAGGCAAGCTGGAGCCAGGATGTAGCGTTGAGTGCCATGCGGTCCGGGTTCAGGGATTTTGCGCGCGAAATTGTCACCCACATTGGGGGCGAAGTCAAACAATTGAGGGACAATGTAGGGAAGTTTTGTGAGGGCGCAATTCAGGGTGCCAAAGCTGCAGCCGCTGTAGAAGGAGAGGCCAGACCTCGTAAGGACCCAGTGAAACTTAAGTTCCCAGACGCGTACGGGGGRAAGAAGGACGAGAACTTTGACGACTGGGAGGCCAGTGTCAATAGTTACATTTATTTACAGCATATCCTGATGGAGGAGCAAGTCCTCGTGGCCTTCGAGGCCCTCAAGGACGAAGCGGCTAGCTTCGCCAGGTCTCTCGCGCGTACAGCCGGTTGTGAAAACAACCTGGTTGCGTATTCCAAAGTCACTCCTCTTTCCCAATTCCGCAAGCTCCTCAAGGAGCGGTTCGCTGACCCAACGCGAGGTATTAGAGCCTCTGATAAGCTCCAAACGATCCACTCTCAGCAGTGGAGGAGTGCTAAGGCACTCAAGGGTACTATGGACGACTTGGTAGCCGTCCCGGACCACGGGGTCACTGAGCCCCAGCTGGCCCAGTTGTTTTATCGTGCCATTCCAGAGGCCCTGCGCGGGCATTTCTTTGACAAATCTCAGCAGGCCGGCATGACTTACGATGCATTGAGTAGAAAAGTCGTCCTGTATGAGTCGAAGTCTATGCCAGTTACCACATTCTGGCATAAGGACCTGGAGAAGGGGAAAAAGTGGAAAGATCGTACCATCTCGGGCCAAGTTAAGGCCAAGGATCACTTGATCTTGACATTAGAGGAGGGTGGTACAGAAGAGGTCCCATATGATCAGATTGAGTGGGGCCTAGGGGAGGAGTACAGTAGTGTAGGGCAGGGGAGGTCTTACGCTGCTGTTGCGGCTGGAGGGAGGCCGCAAGGTAGAGGAGGAGGCCAGGGCCAAAGGGGCCAGACCATGGGAGGCCGAGGACCGGGCGCGCAGGGGGTTGGCGGCCAAGGAAACCGCCAAGCGGGAGGTAGGGGTCAAGGTCCCCCGTCAAATCGCCAAGGTTCATTCCGGTCCCCACAGCGAGGAGGTGGAAKGGCACCTCAAGGTGGATGGCACCCAGGCTTGCCGYAGGGCAGGCCCTGGGAAGATTTGGGCTTGGACCAGCGTATATGGCAACAACGCGTGGACCAGGGTCAGTGCGTATTTTGTGGTGACCCGGGGCACGTAATCAAATTTTGTCCCAAGTATAGACAGGCCCGTTGGGCTGCCCAGCAGGCAAAAGGCAGCCGCCAGTAGGGGTCGCAACTGCCCCTACTTCCAGACAATGTGGAGAAGTGAGCGCGCGCGAACAGGACACTCCCAACCCACATGAGCCTATGGCAGAGGTTGCAGGCCCGTGCCTAGATAGTTTTCTAGAGGCTGCTTGTGTTAGCGTCTCTTTAGGCACGTCCCTCATAGGTGTGGCAAAAGAGTTAAAGGAGAGGATGCCAGCCTGGGCCAAAATGAAAAGGGAGACTAAGGGACAATTGATTTTGGTAGATGTAGAGGTGTTCAGAAGTAGAGTAGGTCCTTGTGTGAGTCAGAATTTAGTCAGAGCCGACTTATCCTTCCCCTCCATGTCCACACTACACACCATAACAGCCCCCGAATCACCGGCTGCAATGAAGTTAATGACCGGCCTGTTGCTGGTCATTGTCGTGCCGTCCGTCATCAAGGTGAGGCCCGTGACATCCCATGGCTCACGAATGTTGTCAAGATCCTTGTCCACGTCTTTGTATTCCGCGGGCAAGGCCTTCGTCCTCAGGTAATTGTATCCTGGCATCCGTAGCATCTTCCTCGATCTCGCAGCCACGTTCATGATCCTTTCCATGTTCTTATACGAGTCCGAGCGCGCGGCGTTGAAGGCGATGGCATTCTCAAAGAAGAAGGAAGCAACCGCCTGGTCGAACTCCCTCTGCAGCTCATCCACTACGAAATTCTTCATGGACGACTGTTGTGCACCCGATGGAGGTTGTGGTGGGCGAGCTGCATCCAGAACAGGACCCCGCAGGTGCTCAGCGATCTCTTCCGGGATGTCGGGCCCCCTGGAATCCCGAGCACCCCTGTCAGCAATGGATGTCGAATCGAAACCCATAGCACTGCCTTCTCCCGCCGTTGAACCCGTGTCCCGCCCTCCGTCTGCTCCTGTCGAGGACGTACCGGCCTCCCCCGATGCACAAGCCACATCACCGGGAGCAAGATCCTGCGCATCCACAACAACTGGCGGACGACCCTGTTCCTTGTAGTGTCGTTCAATTTCGCCAGCGACGCAGGGACCGATGCCACTTTTGGGTGGTTACTCCGACGTGGACAGCGGGCATTGACCGACGGTTGTGTGTGGTGTTTCACGACTTTGGACAGCATGCCGACGAACTCTTTGTTGCAGAGCCTGCAATGCAACCTCCACGAGCTGTGTGATGTGTCGGTTGTCACCTTCTGGCCTCTGTCCGCCCATTTCCAAAGCTCCGAGTGGCTGAGCGTCCTTTCTCTTTCTGCACCAGTCTCAGGCACGAACGGTACTCGATTGCCCGCCATGGTCGTCGCACCGAAGGTGGATGGTTGATTTGGACGAAGAAGAGGGAGTAGTAGAAGTGGAGGGAGGTGAGTGCCCGCTGCTCGATGAATTTTCAAAAAAATAAAATAAAAAAAAATCGGAGGTGGGTGATGGAGAGAAGATGGAGATGAGGAAGAAGAGGATGGAGAGAAGATGGGGAAGAAGAAGAAGAGAAGATGGAGAAGATGGAGAGAAGAAGAAGAAGAAGAAGAAGAAGAAGAAGATGGAAAGAAGAAGAAGAAGAAGAAGAAGATGGAGAGAAGAAGAAGAAGAAGAGAAGATGGAGGAGAAGAAGAAGAAGGAGAAGAAGAGGGAGTTGTAGAAGTGGAGGGAGGTGAGTGCCCGCTGCCCGACGAATTTCTAAAAAAAAACAAAAAAAAACGGAGGTGGGTGATGGAGAGAAGATGGAGATGAGGAAGAAGAGGATGGAGAGAAGATGGGGAAGGAGAAGAAGAAGAAGAAGAAGAAGAAGAAGAAGATGGAGAGAAGAAGAAGAAGAAGAGAAGATGGAGAAGAAGAAGAAGGAGAAGAAGAGGGAGTAGTAGAA